AAATAAATAAATAAATAAATAAATAAATTTTGAGTTGAGTGTCCCTGGCTTGCCCAGGCTGGGCTTGACTTGGCTCCTCTTGCATTCAGCGCCTGAGCTTAGGCTCACAGGGGTGTGCCCCTGTGCCTGGCCAGTTCTGCCTGGGGTTTTTGAAAACAGTTTTTAAAGCCCTTGTTTAAAGGTGGCCTGTGGACTAACCTGCAGAGATTTAAAAAAAGTTTTTATTAGTGTATGTTGGCAGTATGTAAAGATTGCATTCATCTTGGGGTGTCATACCTATGTGTGTAATACACACCTCAATTCTCATCACTGCCTTCATCTCTCCATTCCCTTCCCATGGAAAAAAGATCTGTCTCTGTTTTATAGTATTTATCTGTTATTTTTCTCTTTTTTTTTTTTTTTTTTGGTGCCAGGGATCAAACTCAGGATCTTGTGCTTGCCAGGCAGGTACTTATGCTGCTGAGCTATCTCTCTGGCCCTATAATTTCTCTTTAACTTATTTATATTTCGGGTTTCTCATACAGGATATTTACGCTTGTGTCTGATTTGTTTCACTTAATATTATTGTTTGAAGGCATAAAAATGTTTTGTTTTATGTATATGTCAGCTGGGCACCAACACTGAAAATGGGTATTTTCTCAGTGAATTCATCGATTTGTGAATCTTTGAGAGAAGCTTAATGTCCAGGCAGTGCTGTGTCCTGGGCCTGGGCAGCGTGTAACTGTGGGTCACTGCGCACCCATTGTCCTGCTAAAAATGCACCAGGCCCACTTGACTCATTTTTTTCTGTATGTGTATTTTGTTGTTTTGAGACAGGATCTTGCTGTATAGCTTGGACTGGCCTTAAACTCACTTGGCAGCCCAGGCTGGCCTCAATTTGTGGCAGTCCTCCTACCTCAGCCTCCTGAGAGCTGGGATTATAGGCATGTGCCACCATGCCTGGCTTTCTTTTTTGTTATCTCAGAGTCCTGTGTGATCCCCTCTGCTTCAGCTTTATCCTGCATAGATGCCAC